GAAAATCGTGTCTAAATTATATGTTTTTAATATAACGTTCTATTGAATGTAGCAGACACTAGCATATAATCAGTGCAGAAATTAACTTCTACATTCACAAACTTTACTATCTCTTTCATAGATATATTTCTCAATCAAATTATTTTATATACAGTAGATGGACACTTATTGAACTAATAAAGGATTTGTTTTCCCTAATAAAGGAATTAATCTGAATATCTCTCTGATAGAGCTTCTTCTGTTTAAGGTGTTCCTTTTTTTAAATCTGATAGTGTCTTCTGTTTAAAGGTGTTCCTTTTTTTTAAACCTGATAGCTTCTTCTGTTTAAAGGTGTTCCTTTTTTTAAATCTGATAGCTTCTTCTGTTTAAAGGTGTTCCTTTTTTTAAAACCTGATAGCTTCTTCTGTTTAAAGGTGTTCCTTTTTTTAAAACCTGATAGTTTCTTCTGTTAAAAGGTGTTCCTTTTTTTAAATCTGATAGCTTCTTCTGTTTGAAGGTGTCTTCTGTTTAAAGGTGTTCCTTTTTTAAAATCTGATAGTTACTTCTGTTTGAAGGTGTATGCATGTAAATGTGGAGATCTCACTCAAGTTTGAAATTCATAGTAATCGAATGAATGATTTAGGAGTTATTGCCCTTGACTTAGTAAAAATGTGTCAAATTTCGATTGTAGGCATGATAGAGACTACAGTTTTTATCCTACCTAGATGAAACTAGGGATGCATGTAAATGTTGATGAGATCTCAGCCGAGTCCGAAATTGGTAATAATCGGATGAATGGTTTTGGAGTTATTGCCCTTGACTTAGAAATAACATGTTAAATTTGTCTTGTAGTCGCGATAGAGGCTACAGTTTTTATCTGATCTTCATGAAACTTGGTATTCACGTATGTATTGGTGAGATCTCACTCAAGTTCGAAACTGATAATAATCGGATGAATGGTTTCGTTGTTATTGCCCTTGACTTAGTAAAAATTAAAATAAATAAAATTTCGATTGAAGGCATGACAGATACTACGGTTTTTATCCAATCTTGAAGAAACTAGATATACATTGTTCATGTTTGAATTTGATGATAATTTTATGAACTGTTTCGGGTTTTTGCCTTGACTTACAGATGATTTTAATATTGTTTGAAAATTCATTATTAAGCCACTAAATATTTTGTTGTCATTTCTGACAGCTGGTAGTGGGCATATGGCATATGACATACTCTAACCGCTAAAACTGTTTAGGATCTGAAAGATGATAATGAGGTTAATACCTTGAAATCTGGGATTTAATATAACAGATCAAGCATCAAATTTGTGAATTCACAGGAACAAGCTTATGAGTTAGGATTTATTATATTTAAAATAAAACATGCAAAAAACCACTTTAAAGCTTCAATGTAAATGATCTTGTGCAAGAGCAAAAAGAAAGCTGATTACATTTCAATACACGCATACAAGAAGCATTCTTGTATGATTAATGAACATGTTAAAAAATGTAATGAAATTTCAGAAATCTAATTTTCTATTTTAATTCCTGTAAATTTGATGAAGTGGAACATCTCAAGGCTTGTCACCAATCTAACCAGTTTAAGATGCAAGTCATTTGAATTGTAAAATTGAATTAGAACAATGTCCATCAAATTGTGATATTTTTTTAATTGAATCATCCAACCTTTAGGTTCCATCAATCTTGATGGTATTGGTAAGGTGTCTCTGAAGAATCCATTACTGAAATTAATGTCATGGAATGCCTGGACATGGAATCTAACTAATCAGTTAATTATGCCAGCTTGACTGTAGGGTTTTAGAGTTCCAGGATTTTTTGACTGACATTTAGGACTAAATTGGTTACCAGGATAAATGTTCTATTCCTGGGAATCCCAAACTTCCTGTATTAAAAGAATTCTCTATTTCTGGCTAGTGGTACTTTTTTTTTTCAAAAAAAAAACCCACTTTAAATTTGATGTAATATGACAGGTGTGCTTGTAAACAATAGAAAGACATCTAATATATTTTCTGTATATGTTTTCTGTAGTTGACCATAAGGTTATAATCAAACCTGATTGCCACATTTCATTCTCCATTTAATTAGGACAACAGCTTAACCTGGGTAGCTCCCTATTATAATCATACTATATTAAATCATTTTCTGCTAAAATATGAGTTTGTTTTCTATTTGAATTTAATAATTAAAATGCAGACTATTGTCTTGAAATTTAGCTAGGTCGATTCTTTTGCTCAGAAATATAAAACCTTAGTCAAATTTAAATTGTTATGAAATGACAGAGGAAGTCTGTGATCCCAGAGAATACAGTGTAAAGAATTCCTCTATTTAAAGAAGTCCTCTGTGTTTGTGGCCAGTAGTATTTTTTTGGCATTAATCCACTAAAATTTGGTTTGAGAGATAAAAAGACATATATTCCTCCTGATCTAATTCTCAATATTGAGGATAATGGCACAAGTGAAAATTCTATCCTTGAATTAGATTATAGGGTCTCTAACAATACATATCACAGATATTTCAAATTAAATTTGTGCTTAACAGACAAAAGAATATTCCTCAAATTTTGTTAATTCTTACATCTGGTCAATTTATTTTAAAAAAAGTTGAAAAATTATCTCCCTTGAAGTTAATTTCACAAACTTAAACCATTTTTCACAGTGATAGGGAACCTTCCCTATCATAATCATACTACATAAGTTTGTTTATTTAAATCTAGTTAATTGAAAGTGGTATGAAAATAGAAAACAAAATATTGGTAAAAAAAGGAAAGGCCTCAGGCCAACCTCCATTCTACTAGCCAAATTAAATTAAATTCTAATCAAAATAATAATCCCCATTTAAAAGAATTAAAAATTTATGAAATTATTTTAATAATTGTTTGACATTTGGTGTGTAATTTATTTGTAATTAAAACTAAAATATTGTGAAACAGTTGTTTACCACATAACAGTTGTTCCTCACTATTTAGTTTGTATAATAGAATCATGAACCATATTATATCTAATTGTCACCTACAAGATGAATTATATTGCAATTCTGAGCTTATGTTTCAACATTTTCTCTTTTGTACATATATTTAGTCTCTATTTGCTAATCATGTTATTTTCCCAATATAAGGGAAATAACTGCAATTTACCTAAACATATAAATATGCTGCAGACTACAACTATTTATCTCTTTTTATAATGTCGGCCAGCAATATTTTTTAACATCAGTGAAGATTCTGTGTAGGGTGGAGTCAAATATTCAAGTGGATTTAGGAGTAAGCTGTTGACTCCCTGGTTAGATTGCCTGGAAAGAATTTAGCACAATAAGGAAAACAATAAAATTATTGTATAAGCCAGGGTTTCTCCACAAATCAAGCATGTCAGTTCCACATTTTGACCATTCGGAAACGTGAAGGAAAAATCAATTTTGTGCTCCCCCTCACCGTAGGCGAGGTAAAATAACCAATAACAGGGCCCATTATAATTTCTTAAGCTCCTTTCATGTACTTTCTTGTTACAAAGGATTGAATGGGTTCAGCATACCCCAAAGACTTTTTGCTCAAAGCTGAGAACTGATGCATGACTTTCAATAGTACTAGGTGCAAATCCGGATTCAAACAAATGTGCCAGAAAATTACAATTACAATAAAACATGGCCTGACTTTTAAATGATGTTTTTAGAGGGTCAGATCTACTACTATATACTGTATCAAAAAACGTATATTTTTATAACCCAATAACAATATAATAATAACACAATAACATAATGCACTAAACAACAATAAAACAATAACAAATAAATAATGTGACCGCTTACATTTTTATTTAAACTTATTTTTGGTATTTCTTTTGTAAAGATTCTGATTTTTGTATAACTTCCACCGACGGAGTACGTCTTCCGGTTGAAAACTTTCAACCGCGCACCCGTTAAGGGAAACTCATCAGCTGGTCTAGTGTAGAGATAGAGAGACAACATCACCAACGAGTCTTGATCAGATTCTGTCGTGAAAATCCTCTTCGCATTCTACACTAGATACCGGCAAAATGCATACCGGCAAAATGCGTCCTATCATCATTACCCGAGTACAGTTAGGGAACTGGTCGGTTAATGATGATTGGACACATTTCGTCCAAAACCACCTGCCAGACTTAATTTAGACACAACTGTTTGGGAGATTGACAGACGAATGTATTGAGCATAGACTCAGCTTAGCTTTTTCGGGTATGTTTTTTGCAACGTCGACAATAGCCAGAGCGAGTCGATGTGCAACACAATGCACTTCTATTAAGAAAGGCAATTTCTTTTTTAAAAGAGCAGCAACTCCGACCTTTCTTCCCCAGCATAACAAGCTGCTTTTCCATCACAGTACAATTTATCAGTGATTTCACTACCGTTTAACTCGGTTAATAGATTCATATTTGTCAATTGTGATATTTTCATGTACTATGTAATATAAACAGTGGAACCTCGTTTATTAGTACATTCCCATTACCGATAAAATCGTTTGGTTTTAACAAATTTCCAGATAGTTAAAACATGCCCTAATGGTCATAATTAGAGTTATGTCCCTTTCCATTTTGACATACAAAGATTATCACGTACACAACAGGTGGTAGACTCACATACGTGTAAAACGTGGCACATAGCCACGAATAGAATGCTTCTTCAAGCTTTTCATTCTTGGCATGACGAGCATGTGACAACGATGACGAATCTTCAGAAATATTGAACCACTTCTCCTTATTACATAAAATGTCACCAATAGTAGACTTGCCGATCTTATGACCAAATTCAATTTGAAAATGTTGACTTATAGAATCTAAGCTTTCCACAAATTTCCCTTTTCTCACATGCGGTAACTTGGAAGTGTTTACGTTTAACTTGTTGGGTAGCCATAATGTAATTCATGTATGAATGAACGAAAGATGATTACGGTTCAAATATTATAGCTTGTATGTAATCAGTAAATCAATTACATAATCTCACAGTGAGGATTTATTTAACACCAATCACCCGACATCATAGTAAATATTCCGTTTCCAGTAAAAAGCGTCCGGATATCGGGGTTTCCGGATTATCCACTGTATTCTGTATCAAAGTGATCATTGAGTTATTGGCCTGTTTGAATACCGCAAGAAACTCGTCAACTAGAATCTCCTTGCCGAGGTCAAGTTCTTTCTTAACAGATTCCGTGTTGTCTTGAGAAGCGGCATGATCTGGCGAAATGGGTTTTCTGAAATTCTGTGAACAGGTAACAAAGTTGTTCCTCTGGTTATGTTTCTGACATGACTGGAATAGAAAAGTAAAAACTAACTAAAATATTTTTAAAAACGCACCTGACAAAATATTTTTTGCAAGGAATAGTCAAATCTCAACTTCAGTAAAGTTTAACAAAGTCGAAGCAGTAGATTTATTTTCAGTGACCGGCAAATTATCATTGTCAAGAATAACCACTTGACGACTGACATTTTCTTTGTCACGCTTATGTTTGGTGCTGGTGCTGGTATGAACACCATCAGCAGCATAAATATTTCATAAGGGGGCAATGGAGCCAAAATCTTCTCATTATAGCTGTCATAAGGTTCACACTGCCTGGGCAAAAGGTGGCTTATTATTACTAATTTGGGATGCCAAAAACACAACACATCTTTAGCAAGTCCAAAACATCCCGAGCTATCACCGATGGAAGTGACAAACCTTGCACAAATCGTTTGATCCTAAATGGAGCATTATAACATCCATTCCCGAAAATTTTTGATTTGCGGATCATTTTGTACTAACAGACCGCCATGTCCACCTTACCCGATATAGTTCACAGGAAACAGCAACAGCCTGTAAACATGAGAGCTGCCAAAAACAGAAACTTTCACTGCACGATTCATTGGCACTGAAGTACTTCCATTCATAACAAAGAACATTGGAGGCACTGAAGTACTTGCATTCATAAAAGAAGAACATCGGAGTAAGCTCAGCCTCCACCATCTTAAATGGCAGTAGTGCCAACATGACGTACAAAAAATAACCATGCATCAAACTTTTTTTTGAAATGCTTGGATTGGGTCTGTAATTTATTAGTCCCAAATAGGTGAAAATTTCATTGGTACAACTGGATACTCGAAAATAAACTTATGCTTATTGTAATTCTTCGATTAAGTGAGGTGGTCTGTAGCATATGATTTGATCTTAGTTACTTCCCTTCTATCATAAAACCGTCTTCATTAGCCCACATGGTGCAGAAAAGTAGGACGTAAAACTCCATTCATTTCATTTCATTTCTATCATAAAAACGGCAATGAAAATAAAATTTGTTTTTTCTTTTTCTGTAGATCGAGAAGAAATGAATATTTATTCATAATCACTGTTTGAATCTTTTCGGCAAGAAAAATAACTTGAGTCTACGCTACCTCTTACCTGTCTTTTTGTACTGTCTTCTGTTCCGTGTTTCTGGGTTGCCAATATTGTAGTTTCAATCTCCGTTTTGCCTTGGTATTGCTACAGGGCTGTTTATTTATGTTTTACCCAGTCGGACATTTTTATACGCCCCTGTCCGTTTACATTTCAGAGTTATTGCCCTTGACTTAGTAAAAATGCGTCAAATTTGGCTTGTAGGCATAATAGAGACTACAGTTTTTATCTGATCTTGATGAAACTTGGCATGCATCTATATATTGATGAGATCATGGTCAAGTTCGGAATTGGTAATATTCAAGTGAACGTTTTCAGAGTTATTGCCCTTGACTTAGTAAAAACGTGTCAAATTTGGCTTGTAGGCACTAGATGGAATTCACGAGCGTCAAATAAGCTAAAGACACCCATTAGATCATTATCGGGAAACCTGCTCGCGATATTTTCAATTATTTTCCTTACAATTTCTTTTATTTTTTTTTCTTCATGATGGTAATATCATGTGTGGTCCTTTTCATTGGTTCATACAGTAATGTCATCTGATTCGTGTAACATCTTGAGTAGTGCAGGCAAAGTTTTGACGATGTTTGTGATTGCTTGGATCATGGACAACCACCAAACCTAGCGTCTTCACTTAAGGTTGGTCGAAAATATCCTGCAAGACCTTCAATTTGGATGATCATTTTTTAATAGAACTCAACTAATCTTCTAATCAGGTGCAAAACTACATTTAAATTTTGACCTTTGTACCATGTTACTACAACCATGTTACACCCAAATAATACAAGTGGAAATGATAAATATGTAATAAAAACCCACTTTGATGTAGAAAATAAAGCTTATTTAGGAATAATTTGAGACCACCATGTTATTTATACTATTGTTTATCTTTATATCATTTTACAACTTGTTATTCTGGACTTGTCTTTTCACAGTTGACTTCTTATTTCTACTGACAACTTGAACTGGACAATCACATAAATTGGTGTAACAAGACACTAAAGTGTTCACTTCCATTACAATCAAAAAAATTATATCTGATAATCCCTGTTTCTGATATTAAGGTTTGCAAACCCCTATTCTGAACATAATAATGTGCTGTGAATTGTTCCATAAAATTGATCCAATATTTTAAATCTGGCAAAAATTTGACAACCCCTAACAATCACAATCTCAAACATCTTTATTTTAACCCCTTTTACATTACAAAATTGATGTGTTCTCAGAAAGGAATGGGTGAATATTGTGTAATATAAACAGTAGAGCAATCTGAGAACGTTCAAATTCTGGCCCACCTTGAGAACACTTTATGCATACATTTCATGATGAATTTCATCATCATTTACACTACAACTGCAGAACCATTCTCAAACCACATTTTATTGGAGTCTGGTTCGGGCCGAGAACGGAATGCTTTATAGCGGTCTGGTGTAAAAGGGGCTATTTTAAGAGGAGATGGAAATATAATCTTGGCCACTTAATGTTGAAAACTTGTGTAAATCAAAACATAAAGATGGGCAAAAGACCACCATGATACTCAAGGGTGAAGGATTGTGGGTGTTAACAGACCAGGGCAAGATGAGAACACACTCCTATTATTCCTCATAAATAATCTAAATAACCACAGGTTATGTTTCTATCAATTCTGTAATCTTGTTACATGACATTTTTCAAGGTGATATATCCATATAAGATTAACCTTTGCCATTGTTTTTGTATAGGTGCTGTATTGTTATTTTGAGGTTGAATAAATAATAAAATGCAAACCCAGTCAGTTTGGTTCTTCAATTTTCGACTGGATTGATAATCCCAGTCTGTTTTTTGCTGTAGGTCCACTTTAGGTGTGGCTTTCGTTTGTTTCAGTTCCATTTGTTATTTCTCTTGTATATGTTCAGAGAGGTCTATGAATGTTCACATAATGAGGTCCATCCTTTGGATTACTTTGGTATAAGTGAATATTGCATTAAAAAATAAACAACATATTTGAGATGAAATATTAGCTGCTGTTATTAAGGGCACAATAAGAAGTCTTGATATCAGGGAATCGAATGTTGATTTTCACTTCTGTTGGTAAGAATAAAGGGAAGAAACTTTATCTAAAATCCCATTATATTCAGACCCTTCAATCTAAACCTTAGATAAACATTGACAACAATACTAAACCCTAAAGGGAGAAGATGAACACTTCACTTAACTTGAAAAACAACATTAATTCAATGAGAGCAAGTTTGGTGTTGAAATCTCGGTTTTCACTCTTTTCAATCATTCTGTATTTGAAAAGATTCCTATTTCTGAATAAATAAGAATAGATTAATAGAGAATTAAGAATCTGAGATTAAATGTAAGATCAGATGATCTGAATTAAGAATTTGTATTGATGTATAATGGATAGGATTTGCTTTTACAATAACATCTTGAGGTTGACTTTTGAATGAATTATGTTTGATTTCAGACTTAAAAATTGCCCACTTGCTTTAAAAGTAAAACCCAAACAAAGTCAATAAGGTAGATATGAAGTGAACCATCTTGAAATTGGCTAATTCAAGTCAATCACAGTAATTACACATTAAACTTAATATACTAAATTAGCAATAACTTATGGTTTTTTTTTTCTAAAATGCAAAGTATAAATCAATACAAAACCTGTATTTTTTATTGTAATAATATCTTGAAGATATTTAAATATTCTTTTATTGACTGATTTTAACTCCAACAGCTACATAGCTTCCCTTTACCTGCAATCAGAATAGAAATAACACATAGATATCAATATTATACTTCTCATGATCACTTTTAAAAATATTTCAAGGTTATGGATTTTTCTCAAAACAACATGACAAAGAACTTTGAAAGCAAATAATATTTTGCTAGTTAAGCTGCAATATTATAAAAGTGATAAGCATTTAAAATTAAGAAGAACACATACTTGTTTTTGAGTGTGCTTCGAAACTGTTATGAAATTTGTGGAATGGCACTATTGGCATATGTTGTAAATCCATCGATCAGGTAACGTGGCTTAAATCCTGATGTATCTGTATCAAGCGATGTTTATTTGGTAACAATTAACAGGAAACCACTTTATTTTTATGTACCTTGACATTATGTGGGTTGAAAAGCCTATATTATGTAAACATGTATCTTCTTTTGAAGACGCATGATTTTCATATTGTCTACACATTTCACTTCCTTTGACAAATTGACTTTTACAAATCTCAAATCTTTATATTCTAAAGTTAAATATTGAAATATGTATTTGAAGTGGTTAAATATGGAAAAGTCAATAGTAAGTTAGGTTTTTTTTTAAAAATTAAAAATTTAAGTACCATTCTGTTGTTTAAATTGATGTGATCTTTAGAGGTTGGAATGTTAAAATGGACAAAAAGAATTTCAGAATTTTCTTCAAAAATTAATTCAAGGATGGGAGTTAACTTTATATTTGAAACTTAGATGAATCTGTTTAACATATTTTTTGGGTAGAGTTATATCAAGAATAGTTAAGCATTCAAAGAACTATGATATCAGGGATGCCAACACATAGATTGATAATTAAAGGGGTTGCTACCATAAATAATCAAAACAGCCAAATAGAAATATTTTTAATGAAGAATGAAGTCATATACAAATATTCAGTGGTCCTTCTAATATAAAGGAGTAAGACTATTCGAAGATTTGGTCATTCTGATTATGACTGAAGGGTGAGTATTGAAACATTTGGTCATCATAACTATTGGGGGCGTTAATTACAACTTTACCAACTCTACCAGTAAACAACAAAATATTGTAAGTCCTTTCATATGACTATTCACACATCAATATGTATTCATATCTTAACATAGGCCAACAATATTCATGCAAATTAATTGCTCTTCTGATTTCTAAAGCCTAACGCCCTCCTTGTCACAAAGTACTCAACATTGAATATGATTCAAATTTTTGTCTTCTAAATTAGAGGAAATTACAAGGAGTTGTTGAGATATAGAAATATCAGACAAAATAGGTCTGAATGCTTTTAACTCAATGAGTCGATGAATGACCCCATATTCTGTGTAGAAGTAATAGAACTTCGTTGACCCCTAACTTTACTGAATACCCCATAATCCTTAAAATAGTTGTGAGAATGGTATCTATCAATATTTGCCCCATTCTCTCTTTATTTTCAGTTAGCAATGAATTAGAATGGGCCCAAATCAGATTAAATCTAGAAAAAGCTTTTAATGAAAATCAGACAAAACTAGGGACAAGTAGAGAGAGAGAGAGAGAGCACTTGAGATATGAATATTAGTGAATATTATAGCTGATTGTAGAGAAGTTTTCATCTGCTATTTACCATTTATTATTTTACAGTTATCCGTTTGTTACTTGAAAAATTACTAAAATATGCAAATTTAGTTTTTTGGTTATTAGAATATTAACAGCAGATAGAAGTTCACTTTGCTTGTGGTCTTTCAAATCTATTTTTATGGAGGCCACCATTCACGTTTTGCTTTTCATGATAATTTTAATCAAAGAATTTCTATGTTAACTTGTTCTAAATATGAAACTTTTAAGCTTCACCACTGCCGGCATTGACACTTTCATTTTTTCACATGTGACAACTTGTGAGAAAGTAAGATATCATGTTGATGAATATATCTAGAATAATTATGGAATTAAGAGATGACAGTTTGACTAGGTGTAATCAAGCTTAGCCCTATTATTATTAATTCTCTAATGAAGCTTGTATATTAAACAGTTTTACACTACTTATATTTAATAATGCATGTAAACCATTGACCATAGTGTACCACACAGTAGTATATTGAAAAGATTCAAATGTTACTTGTTATGGACCATTGGTCAAAATATTCATCTGACATGCATTGAAAATTTGTACACAGGGACATAGATGTTATTTGATTTGGATGCAGAAGGCCATGAATTCAATACTAATGAATCCAAGATTAAATGAGTAGAGCATGTTCATGCTAGCAAGCACTGCTGATAGAAGGAAGCTGCCGGAATATGTTTATTAAAAAGTTATATGGAAGATGCCAAGAAAAGGTTGAATATATGACAAATTGACTGATGACTGGTTGAAGATGGTTGGGGGTAAACTCCTAAAATAGCAACGCACTTAAGTAGTCCTTATTGGTGCTAGATTGGTTCCATCCTCACTTAAGTATGGCTGTAAAGTAAATACTGTTCATTGATCCTTTTTACAACTTTACTATAATCTTTCTCCACAAATCAGTAATACAAGGTACACCTCATTCTAAAAATATCATTGTTAACTGCAACAAAATACTAGTGAAAATTGTTCTTTTTACTTATATACAATCACTTAACAATTAAAAAATCTTTTTGATCTTTTTATGGTTGAATGAATTAGACATTTAAAAAAATTTATAAAATGCGTGCTGATTTAAATTTCCTATCAAGCCATGTTTTATATTGTTGAACCTTTTATGAAAAATTGTGTCAGATGATAATAGCACGATAATTGAAAACGTCAATAAATTGATAAGTTGTGTACCAGCACGTTCCCCATTTTTACCTTTATAGATTATAGCTAGGATATTGAGTTTTGTAAAATCATTGAAGTGTGATGTGAACTAGTTTGTTAAAAGATGCAGAATGATTTTCAGATTTTGTTTTGCAAAATTTTTAAAAATATTTTCAGACCATGAACATGTTTAATATATTGCATGATTTAGAAGGAAATGACCTAATAAACTTACCAGATTTCCAAGGGGGATTTTTCTGCAAATGAAAAACTGTCAGCATCTTATCTGAACACAAGAAAAATGTATAGAATATGTGGATGAAATATTTTGTGCATTGGCCTACTTTTTTATTTCTGATATTCTCTTCTGTAGAAATATCGCCTCAAGGTAATGGATTAGATTATGAACTTCATACACAATGCAGTATACATTTCTATTTTGAGCTGATCCAAAAAAACACCAGTGTTATCTTGTATTTAAAAAAATTGAAAAGTGTGTGAAAATAAAATTGGTACAGTTTACAGAGGTACTTTCTGTAGTCATTGTTTCATGGCTGACTGATATCCATTCACCATTGATGTGCAATTTGATAGAGCATAGATTATAGATTGTGCAACTGAATAGATGAAAGAGAAGCATTATATTTTAGCTGTTGGTTTGACTTAGAAACACTGGAAACAAAAAGGTCTTTTAAGAATATAGAACAAAAGACTGTCTTAAACTTGTACCACACCTAGAAAAAACTATTATCATAATAAGATTAAAGACAAGTAATTGCTAAATGAGGCTAAAACAGGACCTTGATGAGTAATAATTTCACCTTTTACCTCAATAAACCCTTAATATTGACCCTACCTTACAAATTACTAGCTCAATAAATAGAGATTATTGTGAAATATTGGTTAAGCTGATATGTTTTTAATGTGGTTTAAAGGATTTTTATTATGATAAAGATGACTAGATCATTAAGAAAATAATCCTTTTATGAGAGTTGCCTTCCTTTGGAAAACAGACGCATATTGAGATATTGTTATCATTACGCCTACATCTTTTAATTGACACTTCTGACAATCAATGAATCGAAAAGCTTGGGAAAATTTAAAAACTGTATGAAAAGATGATCGAGACTTTTTCCAGAATCTGTGAGTCTAGTTCAAAAAAATATGAATATTCATCTTGTGTACTTCCCTCATGTTAGCCAATTTCTTTTTTGTATTTGCATCACATCAATTGTCAATAATGATAATATAGATTTTGTCCTGATACAAAGAGCAAAAACCTTATGTACAAAGCAAGTACACATTAGTTGTTGTAGGAATGTATGAAATTTCACTTTTATTTGGTTGAAACATGACCATACATTTGTACAGGTCAGGAAAAGAAATCTGGAGATTTGCCTTGAAAAGTCTAGAGATTTGCCTTGAAAATTCTGGAGATTTTTTTCAAAGTGCGTAAATTTGAGAATTTTAAGCTCAAAATTGCGTTTTTTTGCTAAGAAAAAGACTTATGCGTTATCAATTATTTCTTATTTGCATGACACAGTAAAAATTCACAAATATATATGCATAACAAGAAAAAATATATACAAATATAAATAAATATAATACTGTCTAAGTTTATTCATCCATTCACAAAAATCACTCAAAAATTTTTTTTCTCGATCCTATCTTTATATGTATTATATGATTTTTTACACTGAATTAGAAGTTCTTTATTTGGCTTAAAGGTCTCATAATTACACTCCATATTAAATATTACACTCATTAAAGATGTTACAGTATGGTGAGCTAAATTCCCCCTACTCTCCTGCTCAATCAATTGTTCTTAAAGAGTTAATTAAAAAAACGCAGAATGGTAATTGTGAATTCAACAGTTAGACCTAGTTTTGGTGTTTTGCTTTATTTTGGCTCAATATTATCAGTTGAAATCTTTAGAATTATGTTTTTATTTTACTAAAATCCGTACAGTAATGTTCTAACAGCTTCCAAAGTGCATAACAAGCCTTATAAATTTAATATAATCTTGAGAAAATCATCTATTGAGATTATTCTATTCCATGGCATTTACACTTAATTGAACTCTCCAATTCATATTTTCCAATTCATATTTCCCTTCATAGCATCAGATCTTTTGAAATTATGCACAATACACCAATATACTGCGTACCAAGATTTTGGGTGAAAAATAAGCCAATCCTTTTAATTTCTGTAAAAAAGACTTGTGTCAGGTGTAAGTAATGAAATAACCCCATATACAATAGACTATTATACTAATGTAAGTGATATTATATCAATAATAGGTGATATTTATATGTAAATGGCAAACATCAGGTCGTGTGGCCGACTATCTCATTATAAGTCAATTATAATATCCATAACAACTCTCTAGAATTTATATTATAATACTCTTAACTGTTTTCTTACAATATTGAGGAATGTAATTAGAATATAATTACTAAATAGATTTCAATCTACTAAATATTTCTCTTTGATGTTTGTAGGTGCCCTACATTTACTATTTTTATTCAACTTTCTGTCTGGCAAAATGGGAATCAAAGGAGTGTCCAGGAAACTTCTAAAATTTAAGTGTGCTGCAGGCCATATATATGGAAGCGAACGTTAACTTGTCATCTACCTACCTACCATATAGAATTTGATTGAAATTTTGTCAATGATAACAGCAGATAGCCAATTTTTTTCCCCGATATGCAACTGGTGTGTGATATTTCTTTCCCTTATAGCACACTGACTTATATTGGAATTAAGACCTTCTTTGCCAAATTTTATGGATACTAAAATTTCAAATTAGATTACAGAATGCATAAGATCAATGAGATTTAGAGAACTTAAAGCAAATCATTATGTAAACGTTCTTGTAGGGCATACACAATTAAGAAGGGTCATATATTGTCCTTGTTATTGTTAACTTGGCTGATTGCCAAATATAGGATGCTGCGCATGCGTGGACAAAAAGTCCGTGCTTGGTTTTGATATATGGTGGTAGTTTTATGACCGGCGTGGTACCAGTCGGTTCATCATGTATATTATGTCTTCATCCATGTAAATAAATTATATAATATCAACCAGCTTTTCATGGTAGCAGAGCGAAAACAAATATGGCACAAATGAACTACAAAAATCCTCCGGCATTGGGCATCCGGCAGAGACAAATTACAAAACGTGGAAAAGTGAAATACAAATATGGCAGCGAGTCACAGATTTAGAAAAGAAGAGACAAGGCTGTGCAATTACTCTAGGGCTTACTGGGAGAGCCAAAGTAAAGGCCATGGAGATAGATGTCGAAGTATTGAATTCCGATGGTGGATTAGACGCATTGATGAACCAATTAGATGAACTTTTTTAAAAGAATAAGATCGATGAAGCGTATAGCACGTATTCCAGCTTTGCCAGTTTGCAGCGGAAAGCGAGTGAATCGATGTCAGACTTTATTTACGAATTTGAAAAGCGCTACAGCAAGTGTAAAAAGCATGGAATGGTGTTACCAGATGCTGTACTTTCATTCAAATTATTGGACTCTTGTGATTTTTCTACGAATGAAAGGAAGTTAGCGTTAACGGCAACAAGTGATTTAAAGTACGAAAATATGAAGTCGGCTTTGACTAGAATATTCGGTAATGAAGGTCAAGGTCAAAGCTCGAAGAAAGAAGATGGTATTTTAATCAAACCGAAAGAAGAAGCCCTTTACACTAAAGATAGACCGAGTTATCAACGGTATGATAAGAAACCGTTTAGAAATTTTGGTAACAGAAATGGCAATAATTCCACTGGTGGAAAATCATCTGTGAATCAGTTGATAGGAATGGTAAGAGAAGTCGATGTGCGATCTGTCAATCGATATTCCACTGGGCTAGGGAATGTCCAGACAGAGACGCTGAAAGAGTGAAGTACACAGAGACCAGTGGGGCAGACGAGCATGTGACTTTATTTGCAAAAGAAGAAAAAACTACAAATCAAATATTTATGGTAGAGTCTTATGGTAGTGGTGTCATAGATACAGCCTGCACTAAAACAGTGACTGGTAAAAGATGGCTCACCAATTTTCTTGGAAAGTTAAATGAAGAAGAGCGGTCTGCAGTTAAAAAAGAGCCAAGTAGGAAGGGATTCAGATTTGGAGATGGATTACAGGTCAGTTCTTTCGAAAAAGTGACAATTCCTGCAAAAATTGGAGACGTGAAATGTAACATTGAGACGGAAGTAGTGAACACTGATATACCTTTACTACTGAGTAAAGACTCTCTGAAAAAGGCTGAAACAATTTTAGATTTGGTCAATGACAAGGCAGAAATGTTTGGTCAGTCAGTTAATCTAGAATTTACCTCAAGTGGACACTATTGTGTTAATATTCTAGACAATTCATGTGAGGATGTCCTTGTGGTTGATTCAATAGGCCTACAATCACAAGATGAAATGAGAAAAACTATAAATAAGTTACATTTACAATTTGGTCATGCAACAGTTGAACGTTTGACTACCCTTCTAAAGAACTCTGGTCAAATAAAGGAAAATGTTATTGATGTACTTAAATCAGTGGTAGCAAAATGTGATGTTTGTGCACGTTATAAAAGACCAACTCCAAGACCAGTTGTGGGCCTACCTCTAGGAAGTGATTTCAATGATACAGTAGCTGTGGACCTCCATGAACTTGATAAAAATCTTTGGTACTTACACATAATTGATGAATTCACACGATTTAGTGCTGGAACTATTATAAGAAGTAAGGCAGCTTCAGTATTTGTTGATAACTTTATTAAACTTTGGATCGGTATTCATGGTGCCCCTAAAAGATTGTTTAGTGATAATGGGGGTGAATTTAATAATTCACAGGTTAGAGACATGTGTGAAAACTTTAATATAGAATTTAAAACAACTGCTGCTTTTAGCCCTTGGTCCAATGGTTTATTAGAAAGACACAACCAAACACTCACAAACATTCTTCACAAGATACGAGCTGAAAAGATGTGTTGCTGGGAGACTTGTCTAGGTTGGGCGATTATGGCAAAGAATAGTCTGATGAATTCAAATGGGTTTAGTCCTTACCAGTTAGTTTACTGGAGGAATCCTAATTTACCATCAACACTGATTGATAAACCACCAGCACTGGAGGGCACCACGTCTAGTCAAATTGTTGGAGACCATAATTCTACTTTGATAGCTGCAAGAAAGGCATTCATTGCAGCAGAAAGTTCAGAGAAGATTAGACGGGCCATTCGTAAACAAATTAGAACAACAGAGGGTCCCTTTGTGACTGGTGATAAAATATATTATAAGAGACCTGATGCCACAGAATGGAAAGGACCAGGTACTGTTATTGGCCAAGATGGAGCTGTTGTATTTGTTAGACATGGGGGTATAATGGTAAGAGTTCATCAGAGTCAACTGAGAAGAACTTCTGAGGCAGAAATACCAGTAATTGAGAAAACCTCAGATGATACAGAAGTAGATGTGAATAAAAATGTTCAGATGGATTCTGATGAGGAAGTGGAGCCAACAAACGAATCTTCTGTGGATCAAGAATCAATACCTGATACCAACACCTTAAATTTGTCGAGAATAAGAACTGGACAGACTCTTCAATACAAAAATCAAGAATCTGATGAGAGCATGACAGCAAAAGTTTTAAGTCGGGCAGGAAAAGTCAGTGGAAAGAATAAACATTGGTATAATTTGGAATTTAGTAAACCAGTCGAACTTATGTCTATGAAACAATCGGTGGACTTAAGTAAAGTAGTGGATTTAAAAATTAATGATGATATTGACAGTGAAGAAAATGTCATGGTAATAGAAGATTTGTCTTTTCAGGAAGCTAAAATTTCAGAAATACAGAGTTGGAAGAAAAATGATGTTTTTGATGAAATTCCAGATGAAGGACAGAAATGTATTTCGACAAGATGGGTATGTACTGTTAAAGATACTCCTAATGGTATAGCTCATAAGGCAAGATTAGTGGCTAGGGGATTTGAAGAGTTTGACAATTCCATTCAAAAGGACTCTCCTACCTGTGCTCAAGAATCTCTAAGAATGATATTAGCCATAATAGCCCAAAAGAAATGGACGCCCAACTCTATGGATATTAAGACCGCCTTTTTGCAAGGGAAAGCCTTAGATCGCAACGTATTTATCAGACCACCTGTTGAGCACAATTCAAATAATAAAATCTGGCAATTAAAAAAATGTGTTTATGGACTAAGTGATGCATCTTTAAATTGGTATAATAAAGTTAAAAGTGTTATGATTGAACTTGGGGCAAAAGTATCAAAAGTCGATCCAGCCGTTTTCTATTGGTCTGATCAGAAAGGACAATTGTCAGGTCTTCTGGCCTGCCATGTTGATGATTTCATTTGGAGTGGATCTATAGATTTTGAATCTAATGTGATAAAGAAAATCAGGTCAAAATTTGATATTGGTAAGGAGGACAGTGTTGCTTTTAGATATATTGGAATTGATTTGAGATGTGATCAAAAAGGGGACATTAATTTAGACCAAAATAAATATGCAGAAAATTTGATGCCTATTAAAATAAAAATGAATAGAACATTTCAGAAAGAAGAACTGTTAGATGAGACTGAAAAAACTGCTTTACGTTCAAAAATAGGTCAGCTCATATGGATTGCTCGTCAAAGTCGACCAGATATTATGTTTGATACCTGTATACTGGCTGGAAAGGTTAAAGAAGCTCGTGTTAAAGATATGTTGGAAGCCAATAAGTTAGTCCGGCGTGTGAAATCAGATAAATCTAATTTGTGTTACAGGTATTTGGGTGAAGGACCATTGTCCTTAGTAATTTATTGTGATGCCTCTTTGGCTAATCTTTCTGACGGTGGAACCCAAGGTGGTTATATTGTGTTACTAGTGAATGCGGATGCTGAATTTTCACCTATATGTTGGAATTCCTCAAAAATCAGACGTGTGGTTAGAAGCACTCTTTCTGGTGAAACATTGGCCATGGCAGACAGAATTGATATGGGTATTTTTATCTCTACACTATATTCTGAATTACTTTCTGATAATTGCAACAATAATCGATTGCCACTAGTTTGTATCACTGATAACAAGTCTTTGTGTGATGCTATTAAATCAACAAAATTTGTATCCGATAAAAGATTAAGGCTAGAAATAACTAGTATTAAGGAAATGATAGCAAATAAAATAGTTAGGGAAATTCTCTGGTGCGAGACTGATAAGATGCTGGCAGATTGTTTAACCAAGAAGGGTGCTTCTCCTTATAAGTTACTTAAAACGTTAGAGGATGGTGTTATTCAATTCTAAATGATATGTGCCATGTTAATGTACATAAATGTATATGTGTTGAATCCATGTAAATAAATTATATAATATCAACCAGCTTTTCAGTTATTGTGAAGAAACCAGGTGAAAAAGAACCAACCTGTATACCTCAAATTTATTCTATTTAATATGCATAATACATTATGAATAATATTTGTATATTAGCCTTCATGTGGTATTCAATACCCAGTATTGTTTGTATATTCTGCAGATTGCAAACAATACTTGATAATACAAGCTAATAATAGATAGATTTATATTGACAATAGAAGTTTATGTAAACAATAGAATATTTATAAAGTTGTTGTTAAGATTGCAGTAGAATTGTTTTGCAGGTTTTGGTGTTATTGTAACATCATTTCACCTTTCACAGCTACACTTTTATGTGAAGGACTTTTTTAAATAATAAATATTCTATTATCTATGTTATATTGGTATCTTTCGGAATTCAAGTTTAAAGTTGCAAGTTCTTTAATGGATTGTAAAGAGGTTTCCCAAATTCTTTATGTGTATTAGGGACACTGGAATGATGCACATTGATGCCATCATTTCAGATGTCTGTGGTTCCTGTAATTCCACTAAAACAAAATATGCTGATAAGGCCCTTCTTGGTGATGTCATCAAATGCTAAGTTTTAGTGGAATTGCAGGAACTACAGATGTCTGATTGAAAATTGGAATGTGCAAATACATACAAAGCATTTAGAAAACCTCTTTACAATCCCTTTAATATTCAAATATTAAGTTTGAAAAGTATTAACACTTCATTAAACTTAACAATTTTGAAGGACAGAGGGCTGAAATCTTATAAACATTTGTCAATATAGGTGTATCAATAATCAAAAGATATCTATCAGAGTAATTAATGAATTTGTCAGAATATCAATTATACAACTAATCAATACATTATATACCCTACAATTATACATGTTTTCAATGGTCAAAGGCACTAACTCTATCGATAACCAATGACCCAAAAAGAGTAGAACAAGATTTTATATTTCCTATGGTTTCATGACCTTTATTCTGTCAATAGTGAAATTGCTGACAATATCAAGATGACTACATGTGATTAACCCAGAAATCATTGCTCAATCTGATTAAAATGAAAAACTGAAGGTTTTGATACATTTTTTTCGGCTTGCCATACATGAGCTGATGAAATTGTTGTGAATCTGCTGTTTCTGGGTCAACGATATTGCTGTTTAACCTACTAATCATATTCATATCATCAAACATTGGTACTAATGAGTGATCAAAGGAATAATAAATTATTGACGTAGTATACTCTCAATATCATTATCATAACCTAATCATACTTACTCAATATTTCTTTTCATTGTTTGAGGCATTCAAAAGATATCAATATTTGTTTCTTAAATAGCGGACTGCCTTGATAGTCCTTATGTGAGACTGCTGGTTGGTACACTCTCAATAAATCTTATTTTAGCACAAGACTGTTTGAACCTATTCAATTAGTGACATAAAAGACTATGAAATTTCATTTTCAAAAGATAATTATGTTGAAATTGGTGGGTTTGTATGTTTAGGTAGGGTGAAAGTTGCTGAATGGTACTAGACTGATGAATATGCTAGCCTAATGTTTTCTCCTACCTCTGGATGTGACTATAACAAAAGGAGTAGAAATGATAGAACTAATAAAGATTGAATATGCTATTCAGAATATATGTATTTTATGATATTTTAAACTGTTCACAAATTGTTGTTAAATTTCTCAAACTGTTGCCATAACTTTGGTTTTATTGACCTCCTTTTTCTATTACTTGTTGATTTAGTGACAAATCTTCTATATAAGAGGGAATTTTGCAATACATGGTCCTTTCTGATATTGATTAGCCTAGTATTAACCACATATATAAACTATATTAAGATCATCATGTCATAATGATATCTAGAAGTAGGGAGGAGGTCAGTAATTTTATACCTCTAGGGGAAGTCAGTGGGTCAATTTCTTCGGAACTAATGTGGTCATTCCTGGAATTTTATACTTCTAATGTCAAAGATTATGAATGGTTTGCAGAACAATCAGGATGTTTTTCTGGGTTTTTATCCATTCCAATACATCATGTCTCTGATCTTTTCGTAAACATGCCATTAAAGTCTTTGGAATCGACTGCTCCTATTCCTTGCTCTTTTAATATCAGTAGTAATAGTGCATTAAATATTAAAAGTTAAACAAAACAAATATAAGGGAATCAGAGGGGAAGGTACAGTTGATTAGTGGCATCAAGTGTTGAAGAATGAGGTTTAAAAGAAATTGTGTAAAGAGTTGCTGAAAGCTATAATGACTGGAGGATGACCTTATGAACATTTTCTTCTAATGCCTTCTGATACAGAACTATTAAATAAAGGATCAACTTCTTGCATGCTTGTGATCTTGCAAGATCATATTTATTGGTCTCAGTATCAATCAAGCATGAAGACCAAAACATGTGTTGATATCACAAGGAAACCTATACTGAACTGAAATCAGTGATCACATCAATGAGTTTACTGTAATACTTATTAATTACTTGTAGCCAGTGACAGAAACTTGACTTTGACCATCATCAATAAACTTGATAGGAATTAGTTTGATCATATCTAGCTAATATCAATGATTAATCAATTTATTAATCTCTTACAGCTTCTTCATGCTTGTCATTCACTGATACATCAAGAGGAAAATCTCAAAGAATGTTCAGAACTAAGGCTTCGTTCATTTTATCTACATTAGGAATACATTTAATTGCTGAAATGTGTTGTTCTTTGTCTGCTGGATTGACTGTTGTTATGCACTTACAAAAAATTGATGGCATAATTCTAGCAGGATGTTCAATTTGAACTAAATATATACCTTAGTTATCATCTGTTATTTCCAGCAGTAACATTGTCTATAACTTTGTAAAATTTTGACCTAAAACTATTTATTTCATTTTTGTCTGAGAGTTCAATTTTCTGCAACATGCAGATACATCTAGTGAATATCATCCATTAAGCTACATATTGACATATCACAGGTTTGGACTCTTAATGAACTTTCTGTCATCCAGTAATTAATTGGCATGACAGAGAATTAATATATCGGAACTCTTTAGGGATTAGAGGAAATATTGGTTATTAAGCCTGATTATTTAGGTTCAAGAACGTGGAAATATCATCAACAATTTTGTGGAACACAGAAACATCATCTCTATTAATTAATTTCTATTTCCAACATTATTACTTGCAAGTTAATTGGTTAATGGACTTGTGTAGAAATGATTTTTGATATTCATTACATTTGTACATAGATCAAAGAAATGAAGTAATAATTCAAAATCTTTCTTTTAAGGGCATACTCAAGGTCAATGAATTATGTTCTGTAAGTAGTAAGAAAAAAATGTTTCTTTATAAAATTTTCCAGTTTTGATCCCTCAATAGGAACTCAGATGAAGACCTCTTCCCAGTTCATTCTTATGATATTTGACCACATGATTTTGCAGAAAATCATCAAGCTCTGTTTAAAACAAACCACTGTGAACTGAAACTTCGACCTCAACTTTCTGTAAAACCTGTCTTTTGATTAAAGGTATGCCCACTGTGATTCAATTTGTCTTCAAAAACATGTTTGACATTCTAACAAAATTCATGTATAAAATAGACAGAAACTAGAAGGGGCTTAGATTTAGATAATGTTAGATATACATGAACAATGAATAAATCACAGAGCAGAACATTGACAACATGGTGTGACTTCTTGAGCCTTTCCTCCCCCTTTTTTATTCTCCTTTTCTTTCAATCTCCTTACAGTTTGTCCTTAGGTGGCCGACCGACTGGAGTAAAGACTAACAGAAATATGATCCCCATCTTCTACCCTCTTGTCGTCTGGACAATGATTTGATTGACACCTCTAATTGAAGGGATGTCATGGCAGGACAGTTTTTGTTTGTTTTTTTCAACCCCTCGTGGTATTTGGTTCTCGTTCCGTATCAGCCCAAAACACCATTTCATTAGTTTTCTCACCGGCAGATCTTTCTTACCATATATCTCATAAAGTCAGTTTTTGTTAGCTTTTTTTCACTTGGTTTGTCACTTTTAGACAATATTGTCTAAATTTTATTGAATTTCTATGAAGAAAATCAGTCAAGAGTCAGAGGCAGGCAGTTCAGTAATTAAAAAATCTATCAAGGTAACAAGAGGTTTGATGTTGAACAGATCAGCTTACCTAGTCCTGTCATTAATCATTATTACTCTATCCACATATACCTTTACAAATACTACAAGTTGATGGAAAAGGTTGCAGTAGAAAGGTTATGACCGTTTTCTAGGACCTGCACCTTATGATTATGCTTCATCTCTACTTGAAGACAACCCCATAAGATCATCCACTGTTTATCTATTCTTATGAAATATCCTATTGGAATTTATGAAAGAAAAATAGCATACAAAACAATTGGTGTAACCTGGTATTTCATCTTCATCCTTTGCGCATCATTGTCATGGAGAACAGGCAAAAGGGTATACAGGGTGCTTTCTTTGAAATGCACTTCAATGCACCCACCCATTGGATCCTAACATATATTCAATCTGAGAAACCTGATCCATTGCCACCACTGATGTGGAAGTCTTTGTATCATACATCAATTGGTGATAAATGTAGGAAGACAGATGGACCACAGATAACAAAACAGTACAATAAATTCTCAAGATGTAGGATCAACTAATAAAGGATGGGGGATCAATGTAAGGAAATGTGAAGCTAGAGAAGGTAATATTGTACCTGTTTTCTCTCTGATCTGTTAATTATGAGCTGTGAATATCGCATGTTTAACATCAATAAACTATCATTGTAAGACAGTAGGGTACAGATAGTGTTAATGTTATAAACCTTAAACAGATTAGAGGGATTAACAATATCACACACATTAGGGTGGAGACCCAGATATTATTCCATTCCCTGTAACTTTGCCAAGAATATATCGAAGTGATCATTGTGCCCTAATGGGGTACTGTTATGAAATTATTTTTTTTAGTTGAATTAAAATTTCAAGGAAAAACTGGCTCTTACATTTTGTTTAGAAATATTTTGACCAGAATCAATGACATAAGCATTCAAATCATTTTCATATTCAAACATCTGTCAACCTCTTTTTCAAACCATCTTCCTTATCCAAGTATCATTAACTGAGAGGTCAATCAGTGGGGTTAATCACTTAGGGGTTAATGAACAACTTGAACCCCATTCCACCTGATGGTTATATTGTCACCTGG